GGAGTTGTAGTAAGGGGTTGCGTGGCATTTCAGCAGTTACAGTTTCATATTTCTAAGTACATGTAGTAATAAATCGGACAGGAAAAAATCCCAAATAAGACACACGTGAGCAGCGCTAATGATGATGATGATGAGGATGATGATGATGATGATGATGATGATGATGATGATGATGATGATGATGATGATGATGATGATGATGATGATGATGATGATGACCACAATTTGGGACAGGAGAAAAATATGAGTAAACATAGAATAATATGGACCAACATAGTAGCAACCTACTTCCTTTTCCGTCATTTTCATTGAGAACGTTTTGATGTATTTGAACTTCTCCCTTGTTTTGAGAGGAAACACTGTTTCCTTTTCCATCTCCGTCCTTTTGGCATCAATCTGAGTGGGCAGATCAAACCAGGTGAAAGAATGGAGAAATTTTTCCTGTGAGTTTTACGGCACTTGCAACACAAACAGTTCATATAAGCATATAAGTGCCAAAGATTAGAGGTGCTACTGGAGAGTAGAGTAACTTGCATAGAAAAGAAGGAGGAGAGATAAGGAAAATAGACGTTTGACGGGAAAGAAAGAGCAAACCACACCAGAGCAGCCGTTAACAACCCACTGGTAAGCTTAAGTATCACTGATGCTGACATCGAAAGCCACAACCCCAACGACAGGGCAAGAGAATTTTATTCAGAAAAGAAGAGTATATTATTTACACCTTGGACGAAAACGAAAATAAAAGTGCATCAACTTATGCAGTTGCAAGCGCCGTAAAACCGTATTAAACCCAGACTAAAATTGCATCAAGGCCTAATGTTGAATTAATTGTAGCTGTCAGCTTGCATAAAATGCATTCAGGAATCAGCCACCGAGAATAATCAAGAAAATAGGTACAATTGTTAAAAGAATGAAACATTTCTTCCCCCCCCCCCTTTTCCCTTTATATATTACACATTAGACCTATACACATTAAAAGAACCCCATACTGAATTGAGAAGGCCACATACTTTTTTCGGACCCACGAGGAAGATATAATAGTTATTGTCCACACGCCACGCGGTTAGGAGGCCCCCTACCTCCATCAGATATCTGGTGATGTAGCAGTTGTCGTAGTTGTCCTTGTTGAGGTAGCCGCGACGATAGAGCAGCGCCTTCACCACCACCAGCAGCACCGTCAGAGGCATCACGTGATCCAGGACCTCCTGCAGCACGTGCACAATGCTCAGCTTGGCCTTGACCTCTCGCAGGATGGCGTCCTTCACCTCTCTGGCGTGAGGGAGAAGGTGAACGGGCAATGACAGAAGCTTTGGAGGTTGTCTTTCTTTATGAGATCGGATTTAGGGATACGTAGAATTGATAATGTTCTTGCTTGTGCATGCGTTTGTGTGTGTGTGTGTGTGTGTGTGTGTGTGTGTGTGTGTGTTT